GCCGCCGCCGCCGCCGCCGCCGCCGCCGCCGCCGCCGCCACCACCACCCGGCTCTCTTTCTTAATAAACTCTCTGCCTCCCTTACTGACTGTATGCCCCAGTGCAATCCTTTGTCCTTGGACATAAGAACCCAGGAACTCCGGTGGGTGCCTTGAGGACTCAGTTCTATGCTGTAACAGGAGGACCATTGTATCTAATTCTCGCGAGGCTCTAGATAACTATGAATGGCAAATGAATCTGACAGCCCTAAGAAGCCACGTTTGGCAACTGGTTTGAACTGGTTTGAAGACCTTGCCAGGGGTTTAAAGCACAGACAGGGAGGCTGTTTGCACATAGGATGTCAAAGCCTGTTGCCTACTTGGGAAAAGGTGAGAGAGAGCAGGACAGGTGGAGGAAGGATGGGAGTGTGGACGGACGGACGGACGGACGGACGGACGGACACCCGGTGCTTCCGGTGCACGTTGTTTCTAGGTTGCCACTCTTCTGTATCACTTTAATAAACATCACATTTGTGTGCTTTATCTGCATTTCTTTACATAGAGAGAATTATGAAAGGCACGTGAAGGAGGCCTGGAGGGTGAGTGCAGTTTAGCTAGTGTTGGCGTTCACATGAGACAGCATGAAAGTGTCTATGGGACGTGGGTTGTGTCATTGTTACAAGTGCTAATTTGATGTTGTTGTTGTTGGTTTTTCAAGGCAGAGTTTCTCTGTGTAGCCTTGGCTATTCTGGAACTCACTCTCTCTGTAGACCAGGGCCTCGAACTCAACAGAGATCCGCCTGGCTCTGCCTCCCGAGTGCTGGGATTAAAGGTGTGCACCTCTACCGCCTGGCTAGCTCCTATCTTTTAAGTCAACCATATTGTATTAGTTAGAATTATAGTCTTATCCAAAAAACTCAGACGCAAAAGCTAACTGTCTATTTAAATAACTATGTAGTGTGACACTGTTGGGCTTCTGAACACATGACTGGCCTGAGGAACAGGCCGTACTTTATTGGCAGGATGTGACTGGGAAGGATACCAGGACTTTCTTTTTTATTTACTACTTCAGGTTGACACAGTAGTAAATAAAAAGGGCATTTTTTATTTTTAACTTCCTTTCAGTTGTGATGACAAGTGGGGACATGTCTCAAAGAGGGAAGTACAATCCTATTGTTTCTGCTGAACTTTTTTTTTTTTAAAGAACGGCCTGCAGAAGTTTTGTATAACTTGTTGGCTGTGCAAGATGTCAGACGATGTGGTTGTAGAGAGTGTTGGGAATTCGTCCTCGCTCTGTGTCAGACGCTCATTTCCACTGTTAACCTTGAGTCCAAGGCCAGAGAGCGTATGTCTCTGCTTGCACTTTGCCCAGTATCTACATCACTCCATCTGCACAGCACACTAAACCCCCAGAAATCGCATCTTATGCCAAAGGCCTTCAGCCTCTGAGTCTTTCGATTCTGTACTTGGTCCAAACAGGGAGCATATGTTTGCCATAAAAACAAAAGCAAAAGCAAAAATCTTTAGTCTTTGGAAACAATTTTCCCTTTATTCACGTGTGTGTGTGTGTGTGTGTGTGTGTGTGTGTGTGTGTGTGTGTTTTAAGCTTCCATTTTAGAGCTAGTGTTCCATGTGTTTTTTTTCAGGATGAATAGAAAAATAGAAGAGAGAGAGAAAGAAAAACCAAAAGAGACTGTGGATAGAACAAGGGTTGAGGATCCAGTGGGATTATAATTATAATCCATGTGCATTATAGTAAGAACCACTATTTGGTTTTGGCATGTCCTTCAGCAAAGTCACAGAAAATGGTGGTGACAGCGGACATTTTAAGACTGGCCATGAAGGACCAAAGATGAATCTTTGGTGTTGGCTGCCTAAGCATGCTGTTTCTAGATTTCCCTGTGCTTTAAAGGAGCGTCTCTCTTGAGATGAAGTTCGCATGCCTCGGAGACCTCCGGTGTCTCGTACACAACCCGGTGGTTTTTAGTACAACCACAGAGACCCGGGGCGGTCCGCACAGTCCATGGAAAAGAACCCAGACCTTTAGGTGTCGTTATCCCTTCTTTTTCCTTTGTCTTCTCAATTGTTACTTTGCGTTTCCTCACAAAAGTTAAAATTCGGTGAAGTCAAAATAAGGTTGCTTGTACATGACATTAGAGTACTGCCTCCTGGGAAATATGTCTCGAGGTCCTTGTGGCTAATGAGCCCAGTAAGGCTGGTGCGTTGCATGCCAGCCCATGGCAGGTCTCCGAAGATCCCAGCAGTTCCCAGCCCAGCTCTCATTGTGGGAGGCAGAAAAGACAGATAAATGCTCGCTGTTCCTGTTGGAGTCCTACAAAGCAGGGTGACTCCCTGGCAAGGCTAGGGCGCTGAGTGATGATGGAGCAAGCAGGTCCATCATCCGCGGGGTGAATGGGTGCCTTCCCCTGTCCCTGGGAGGTTTGCATGGCCGGGAAACTGCTGGTAATTTCCCTCAGCCTTTTAAGCATGAATTTGACTTCATGTGGAAGCATGGGAAGAAAAGAAGGGGAGAAGAAAGGGGGCGGGAAGGGGGAAGGAAGGCTGGAGGGAGGGAGCAAAAAAGAGAGGAGACTGAAAGAAAGGAGGGAGGAGCTAGCCCCTCCCCCAGGTACTGCTATTTTCTGCACCCAAACAGGCCAACGTTTTAAAATAAGAGAACTTCAATTTTGGCCTCTTTTTTTTTTCCCTCTCCCTTCTCCCCTCCCCCTCCACCACGCAGGCCGCCAGATCCCACCCTTGGACCCCCATGAAAATGGAAACAGTGGCGGGATCAAGCTTGGGAACCAGAGCTTGCAAACCAGCCGGCGATGCTGCTGACCCAAGGGCCGCATGGAGCACGAAGCAGGAAGCCAGAGCCCTCTCCAGTGCCTGGGGCCCACAGAAGGACCCTACCCTCGGGACTGCCTGCCTGCCGGAGAGTGAGCAGCATTGCATGCTGGGAGACCTGCAGGATGCTGAGCAGGGAGGGTCCCTGCGAAGAGATTATCGAAAACTCCGGAAAACTCACTGTACCTCCACAACATGGCCTTCGGTTTATAAAATGCACACGGCAGGGGTTGCACTTATTAGGTAGTAGGTATAGTTGCCCTTTTTTGTTAAAGAAATATTAGAAAATTTTTTAGATTTGTTCACAAACCTTGCCGTGCTGTTCTTCCCTGACCTCGGATGTTATCTAGTCAGATTCCAGTAACTTCTCCAGGGCCAGGGTCTTTTTCTCTGGCCAGTTCACCAAAAGGCAGCAGCAATATAGAAGGTTAGCTTTTAGCTGGCTTGGGGAGCAAACCTCTATTATATTAGTTTTTCTGAGGGAAATCAGAGAAGTATAACTGGACCATCATTCAAACTGAGAGCTGACTTTCTGCAAAAGAGACAAAAGTTGTGTTAGAAACTGCCATCTGTGTCCCCTTTTCATGTAACTGGTGAACATTTTTCTAAGATACAGTCATACATCAACCAACCAAACCAGACTAGAACGTTACACATAATTCTGGGGATGGGAGGCCCGGTTTAAAAGAGTTAAGTGGTTGGTATGTAAGCCATGGTAGGTGGAGGATTATAAATAGCATTCAGGGCACCACCCAGCATACATCCTCTCCGTTGCAGTAACTTTCTACTCTTGGAGATGATTAGTTCACAGAGCATTGTTTTACTAGGAGACTATGCCATAGTGTCTAAGGGAAAAAAACTAACCAGAGGATGTTGAGTCTAAATTGTAGGGCAAACTTCTATTAATAGCAGCTAATCATGGATTGTAGCAAACCAGCCAGAAAAATGTTACCACCTTAAAATTCTGGACCCCCAAAGTATAAAATTCAGAAGACCATACTTTAAGCTTTTCCAAAAAGCTTTTCTTTTGGAGAGAACAGCCACCAAGCAAACAGAGCGAGGTTCCGGTCATAGACGGTGGTTGTCAAGTCCAGGATGTGTTCGCCCACGTACGTTCTTCCTCAACTTGGGAGTTCACTGACTCTTAGAATACGAAGGATGGAAAATCCTTGTCTTGATTCAAGAGTGTCCCCCAGTGTCCCATAACAGACATCTGCAACACTGTTAGCAGATGGTGTCTGTATGTTGTAACAGGGCCTTCTCAAGGACAGTCAGCGCCTGTCCCATGCTGCCAGTGTCACTGGCTGACAGGATTCTGTGTGCCGACAAAAGACATGAATCCACTCACCGCAGGTAAAACAGAAAAAAAAAACAAAAAAAAAACCTAGAGTTGAAACTGAAAAGGCCTCTCTCCAGGTAGCATCAAGCTTATGTTTGAACCTTCCCCTGTGTTAGGGAAACTTGTCCTGGGAACTTGCATTGGTATAGCTAGGCTGTCTAGATTTCCAAGCCGAGATGGTACTGTTCCCAGAAGAGAATGTCATGGCTTTGGATTGGGTTTGCAGAGGTTGAATTTTACATGAACTGGCTGGGCTTCCCCCTGACAGTGAGCCCCCCTGGGTGTTTTAGAAAAGCACACGGGGGAGTGAAACCTTGCTTTTTCTAGGCTGCATTGCCATTGATGTCAAAGCTAGGCAGAGGGTAAGTACGCATGTGTGTCAAACAGAGAGTGTGTGGCACTTGGGCACACAAATATTCATACCCTCTTGGGCCTTCTCTGCAGGTAGATGCTGTGGCCTTTGGTGCCTGGGATTCCTTTTGGGTTGTTTTAACAATTGACTTTTAATCATAGAAACGTCTGTAAAGACCTAGAAATTACAATTGTTCTGACACAGGATATGGTATCCTTATCATCGTTCCCAGAATTCCCTTCCCAACCCCTATTTTCTCTCCCTCACATGAGGCAGGTTTGTGTATATGTGTAAATATGATTGATGTTGGCTACACCTCCATGTAATCCATTTTAGAGTGGCTGGTTTGGCTCACGACCTTGTTTGTGTCTGTAAGTGAGGCACAATATCAGAGGGATTCTTTCTCATCAGGAATCCCCAAGGACAGTGGTAGAGCTGTGCAAATGTTTTACAATAGGTACAGAATTGACTTGCCATTTTTTTTTTTTAGTAAAAAATGGTACATTAGGGTACTGAATATGATGTTACCTTGCAGACTAACCTGCATTCTAGCCAGTAGTAAGGGCTGTGCCCCAGTGGGGATCCCACTCGTTCCCGAGGGAGGTTTGGAGGCTTGAAACATTTCCTCTGCCATTAAGGACTATGGCCTGTATAGACTTCCCTCCTTGCCACTGGGCAGTGTTCCGGACAGGGAGTAAGAAGCCAGCCATCAGCCAAGAGCTCTGGCTGTGTTCAGACCTGATCATGCGTTTCATCGTTGTTGTGACACCCAGTGACCCAGCAGTCATGCCGTCACACAGACTGTCACCCTTTCTGGTGGTTTTGTAAAGGGTTTCCACTTGGGCTGGACCCAGGTTTTGTACCTAGACGATACCTCCCCAGACACCCGGGACCTTCGCATCTTGTACTCTGTTCTATGGTAAAGCATTTCCCTTGTGCTCATTTGTATCAGTTGCTTTTGATTTTAACCCATTGGTATGATTCATACTAATAAATATTTTAAGTTTTACTGAGTGTCTTTTTCTTATTACAATCAGTAAAGGGACTAAAAGTCAACACAGAATTAAAAAAAAAAAAACATGTAAATTTGTACACGTGAAGACCTGGAGGAGAATATTCACTGAAGCACTGTTGACAATAGCAGATTGTCATCCACTAGGGAAACAGATAAATAAAGCATGGTCACGTGATGAAAGCTATGGGCTAGGATGAATGCATTGTCTATAATGTACCACCGTGCATCTCTAAGCAGAGTGTAGAGTGCAAGGCTTCACTGCCCTGAGGGAGCCACTCACGGGAGTCTGTGGAGTAGTCTTCAGTAGCTGTCCACTGCATAGCATGGGGAATGGAACCGTGACCCTGGATGCATGAATCAAGACAACTGGGGTTGTCTTAGGGTTTCTATCGCTGCAAAGTGACACCATGACCACAACAACTCTTATAAAGGAAAACATTTAATTGGTGCTGGCTTACAGTTCAGAGGTTTAGTCCATTATCATCATAACAGAAAGCAAGGCAGCAGACAGACAGACATGGTGCTGGAGAGGTAGCTGAGATTTCTACATCCCGATCCACAGGCAGCAGGAAGAGACTGTGTGTTACACTGGGCATAGATTGAGCAGAGGAGACCTCAAAATGTTCCCCCACAGTGACACTTCCTCCAACAAGGCCACATCTATTCCAACGAGGTCACACCCCGTACTAGTGCCACTCTATAGGCCAAGCATTCAAACACATGAGTCTATGGGCCGTACCTATTCAAACCGCCACAGGGGAATAATAGTGATCATTTATTGATGTGTGGAGGGAAGTAGAAGCATAAGAAGGAAAAGCATCAACCTGTGACGCAGAGGACACCAAATCAGGTCAGAGATGAACAAAAGGCTTTTAACTGCCAGCCATTTTTCATTTATTTCATGGTCTGAAAATCTGAAGCCAATACCCAGCATGGTATCACACACACTCCTTTAATCCCAGCACCAGGGAAAACAAAGGCAAGTAGATCTCTGGGAGTTCATTTCCAGCCTCATCTACATAGCGAGTTCCAGGCCAGCCAGGGCTACATAATGAAATCCTGTCTCCATCACTCAATAAATAGGCAAATACGTAAATAAGCCTGAAGCAAATATGATGAAATGATAGTATTTGATAAATTCAAGGCATGTGCTTTACTAGTCTCTATATTTCTCTGGGGTCAGTCTTTTTCAGAAATGGAGAGAGATGGAGGTAAGAAGCAAGGATTAAGCTAACTTTAGTGTGCTAGAAAGATCTCTATCATTGCCAGCCTGATGGAGCACACTGGCAGAGCTTCTGTTTTCCACAGAGAGCTTGTGCTGAGTAGATGGAAGGCCTGTGTGAAGTGGTACCTTATGCTCTTTACATGTGAGAGGTGCTGAGGGCATGCTGGGAAGCTGCCCAGGCTGTACATAATTAAACAAGACTAGAAAACAGTCTACCATGGCCGGGGAAATGGCACATAGGTTCAGAACGCTTGTTGGGTAAGCATGAAGACCTGAGTTTGGAGCCCCAACACCCACAGAAATCCAGGCATTGGCCCCATGTTCCTGCAATGGGGTACGGAGATAGGCAGCGGCCAGCCAGCCCAGCAGAAACTTGAGTTTCAGGCTCAGTGAGAGACTGAAAAGAAGGTGGGGCATGATAGAGCAGGATGCCTGATATCTTCCTGTGTTCTCTATATATGTGTGCAGGGATGGGCACACACATGTATGTACACACACACACACACACACACACACACACACACACACACACGCCACAAACAAAATTAAAAGAGTTCAGGGTGGAGCCTGCATGATTGAATTCTGATGATTTTATGGGATGCAACAGAGACCAGATCACATGTCTGTATATAACCTTCGTTTTTCAGCATGTGATATCTTGTTCTACCTCAGGACCCTGCCAGCAAGTAGGCCAACCCCAGATGTGGGTTGATGTCCCTAGACCAAACTGTGACCCCAAACCTTTCTTAAGTTACCCCAGTCTGTGGTATTGTGTTAGTAGCAACAAACTGAGATGTTTGATCACTTTGGTCTAGTAGGAGAAGATGTTACGTTGGAGAAGGAATCCAAACACTCAAGAGTTAGTGGATAAGGACCTTCTTTATAAAAGTCACATGACTATCCACCCATCTATCTCTAACCATCCACAAATCTACATACTCATCCATCCGCCCTGGCTCTAACCACCCACTCAACACTCAACCATCCACCCACCCACAACCCTAACTATCTACCCAATACTTACTCATCCACCCACCTCCCCACTCACCTGTCTACCTACCCAGCCATTCACACATACAACCATCTACCTTGACACCCATGCATCTCTTTACCTACCGCAACCTATCTGTCTGTCTGTCCATCCACTCACTTTTCCAGTAAGGATTTATTGAGGGCTCTTTTGAATCAAATGCTGAACCAGCCCTCCATGCCCCCTCCCATCCATCCAGTCACCAAACTTATAGAGAAGAAACAGGACGCTAAAGACAAGCAAACCAAGAACGTCAGGACGGAACAGACATCCCAGCTGCAGACAAGACAACTTGACTTAGAGACACTCTCACTGCTGAGCAGGAACTTCTTTGTTCCTAGGGATCTACTCCGTTCCTAATCCTCAGATGAGCAAGGCACTTAGCTTCCCCGGGCCTCAGTTTCGCCTGTAAAATGGGGACAATACAGCAAGCCAGAGCTAATGCCAAGTGAAGTGGAGTAAATATGAGCTAGGACAGCAAACGAAAGCTTTGGTCTTTGGCTGGTGCCGAGCATGGCTCTCCTCCTGACTTCTCAGTTCCCACGTTCTTTTTGTTATCATCCCCTGTCTCGGAAGACAATGTCATGTAGAGATTGAGAAACTTCAAGTCAACCCTCTGAATGCAGCTTCCAGCTCTGTGACTTGTGGGTGGTGGAAGCCTTAGCAGATTGAGCTCCCCAAGTTCCCTGTCGGGTGAAGGGCATGTATCGTTCACAGGCACCCACACCTTACTTCTGGGACCCAGATCATGTTACAATGGAAAGACTTTCCCCAAGCTTTCGATAGGCCCACTTAGCCCCAAAACTAGACCTAGACTGATGTGACAGTTTGTAATCATTGTTTCTCCACAATGTTTCACCATTTATCTGCAAAAATACTGTTGTGTTTGATTACGGGACTCACCCTCATATTACTTTTATGAAATTCAAACAAAACTCTAGATCCTAGAAGCATCAACCCTCGAGACATAATGTGCTCTCAGCTGCGGACCGCACCTCACGACTGTACCTCGGAGACTAAGGGGACAAACGTCTGAGTTGAGGCCACACATAGGGTCTCCAGGAAAACCCAAAGGCTGCTTTCTCCCATGGAAAGCAACACTCCAGCTGTCTGGAACCACAGGGTTTTGCAGCACTGAAAGAAGTTCTGGTGGCCATGGAAGCAGGCAAGAATTCAAAAACAATAATCTTCATATGGATAGAGAGGCTGCTGTTCCCCAGCGTTCATGAGATTGGTGCTGTTACTATCTCCATTCTACAGAAGAGGGAACCGAGACGCAAAGAAAAATTGCCCAAGATCATAGAGCAGAAAAATGGACTGGAGGTCAAATGTTAGCTGCCATTATTTCTTCCTTTCTTTACTCTCATTATTCTAGAGGGAAAGGGAGGCTGCATAAAATGAAATCCATTCTGATTGACAAGTTCCCAGGAGCTTTCACATTATATCTTAGTTTGTCCACAAAAAAAATCCAAGAAAAATGCACAGTTCTAATGTGTAAGGCATTTTCCCCCTCTCTGGCAATGCTGGGGATTGAACCTAGGACCTTGCACATACTGAGAAGTTCCCCACTCAGCAACATCCTTAGTTGATCTCATTTGTAAGAAAGGATCCTGGAGAACTTGAACGACATTCTCAATTCTACGCAGCGAGAAAGTAGGGCGAGCTGTATCCACGCTGAGACCTATCCTATTTTGAAATGTGTTCTCACATCTCAGGAGAACACGTTTTGCCCGGGGAGCTAAGGGTTAATCAGCTCTGGCCGGAAGAGCAGAATTGCCCTATTAAAAGGTGCTTGCTGGTTTGACTCACCCATAGCTAATCGCAAACTGCTGGTCTGACTCTTCCAGAAGGTTGCTGTGTTTCCCTTGTCCTTGATTTTGCTGTGGCAACCATTGCTCAGCCCTCTGTCAAATTTTGAAATGCCCTGGAAATAACTCACGCACCTGGGGTCAGCAATCTAGGCTTTGTAGGGTCCGAGGTCCTGAGCTGCTGAAAACCCAGGGCCCAGATTGGTCTCTGCCCATGAACCTGGTTGACCTTTCTCTGCTTCAACTCACATTCTCCCTGGATTTAGAAATACCCAGTCTTTCTATTTGTTTGAAAAAGAACCGCTAACTTGTTTCTAAGGCCCAGAGGGTTGGTCCTTCCATTTTACACTTGTTCACAGTACTCCTGGCTCCTGTTACCTATGTGCACTCTTACATCTTTACTAATTTTGATCAGCTGCCCAACATCTCCTCCGCTCCCTCTTTCTCTTGCATTCACATAATTAAAGAAAGTAAATCTTGGTCCTCTGTTAACATGGTCTCCTCATTTTGTACTGTCAAAGACTATTAGACACGTACCGAATGCTGGCTTTTCCAGCCTCCCTCTCTCCACTTCTCTCCTGGATGCTCCCTTTTCTGCTCTCTGTGTCTTGGGCTCCATGGTTCCTCTATTCCACTGCCCACCTTCCCTTGTCTTTTGCTGGGGTAGGCAATCTTCCTGCTTAAATACAGATATCTTCTGCAAACTTCTCGTGATGGTTACTCTTGAGTCAACTTGATTGAATTGAGAGATATCTTGGAGACTAGCAAGGCACACCTCTGGCTGTCTTTGTGGGCATTTAGTCTCTCATCTAATCAGACATTTGACCCACCGATGGATTCAAAATTTGAATATGCTTTGGTGGAAACTGGAAGGTCCAGTCTGCTTAGAGAAACCAGGTCACAGTTTCACAAATCTAATAGGGCTCAAACC